CCACAAACGTTCACGAGAGTTAATAACAGGATGTGTTGTAGTCCATCCACTTAAGAGACTATCTGCAGCTCAAGTCGAACACAGGAGCTGTGACTCGACCCCTACAGCCACAAATAGGGGATTACATAGGATATCAGTGTTTTGTTTCTTGTAGCGTTTATTCGTTCCACTGCAGCTCTTCAGGAAGAGTAATAGTGCTGGGTTAATCTAGTGTGTACAGTAATACGTGTTGTGGTTTTGTTTATAAAGTTTATTAAAACTTTCGTATAGTGGGAACGAGTGCTGTCGGGTTCTTCACATTTTTTCACGAGTTACGTTGAGTTTAAGGTGATTTGCACATGTATTAATCAGTGAGGTAAGGATAGATTACAGAGTAGCAGAGTGAGCAATGTTTGAGATACAGAGTAACCTATTTCTGAAAGATTCCAAATGTTTTCAGGATTTATTTTAGGCAAGTGCGAGATGGGACACACAAATGACAGCCAAGAAATGAGTGAGATACTAAAATCCCAATATGACTCAGTGTTCAGTGAGCCGCCACCCAGACTAAGGGTCAATAATCCAAATGAATTCTTTATGAAAGAGACCAAAAATCTGGTCATCTAAAAAATCTGATATCCTAACACCATAAGACTTTGAAAAGGCAATAAATGACATTCCCATGCACTGCCCCAGGCCCAGACTCGTGGAACTCCGTGTTCATAAAGAACTGCAAGAAGTCAGTCACATGCCCTCGGCATTCTATGGAGAGGGAGCATAGACACAGGGGTCATACTACACTCACTAAACAACAGACAGCTCCACTCTACAAAGGTGGCAGTAAAGCAATTGCAAAGAACTACAGACCGATAGCACTAACATCCCATATCATAAAAATCTTTGAAAGGGCTCTAAGAAGCAAGATCGCCAACCACCTAGATACCCATCAATTACAAAACCCAGGGCAACACGGGTTTAGAGCAGGTCGCTCCTGCCTGTCCCAGCTACTGGACCACTATGACAAGGTCCTGGATGCTGTAGAGGATATGCAAAATGCAGATGTAGTATACACAGAGTTTGCAAAAGCGTTCGACAAGTGTGACCATGGTATAATAGGGCACAAAATGAGTGATGAAGGAATAACAGGAAAAGTTGGTAGATGGATCTATAACTTCCTGACAAATAGAACACAAAGAGTAATAGTAAACAGAGTAAAGTTTGAGGCAACTACATTGAAAAGCTCTGTTCCACAAGGCACAGTACTCGCTCCCATCCTATTCCTCCTCATATCCTTTGCGGACGACACCCGAATTGCCATGACAGTGACCTCCATCGAAGACTCCAAGCGGACATCAACCAAATCTTCAAATGGGCCACTCAAAACAATATGAAGTTCAATGAAGAGAAATTTCAACTAGTCATATATGGAAAACTTAAGGAAATTAAAACCATCAGCGTATACAACAAATTCTAACCATACAGTAGAGCGAAAAAGTAATGTGAAAGACCTGAGAGTGATAATATCAGAGGATCTCTCCTTCAAAGACCACAACAATGTATTTACCGCATCTGCTACGAAAATGATAGGATGGATAATGAGAACCTTCAAAACTAGGGATGCCAAGCCCAGGATGATTCTCTTCAAATCGCTTGTTCTCTCTAGGTGGAATACTGCTTTACACTAACTGCCCCCTTCAAGGCAAGCGAAATTGCTGACCTGGAGAGTGTACAAAACTTTCACGGCACACATAAGAACAAAAAGGCACCTAAAGTACTGGGAACGGTTGAAGTCCCTTGATTTGCATTCCCTGGAACGCAGGCGAGAGATGCATGATAATATACACTTGGAAAATCCTAGAGGGATTAGTACCAAACTTGCACACGAAAATTACTCCCTATGAAAGCAAAAGACTAGGCAGGAGATGCAACATTCCCCCAATGAAAAGCAGGGGAGCCACGAGTATACAGAGGCAACACAATAAGTGTCAGAGGCCCGAGACTAACTGCTTCCCAGCATGCATAAGGGGGATTACCGATAGACCCCTGGCTGTCTTCAAGAACGCGCTGGACAGGCACCTAAAGTCAGTACCTGATCAGCCGGGCTGTGGTTCGTACGTCAGTTTGCGTGGTTGATCAGACCCTGATCCAATACGAGGCCTTGTCTCAGAGCTGCGGGGGCGTTGACCCCCGAAACCCTCTAAAGGTATACTCCAGGTAAATGTATGGTACTGAATTTCAGTTTCTAGTCAAGGCGTATTCGGAAGAATTTTCCCCTCACCTTAGTCTTCAGGAGTGTATATTGTTAGCCTTCATGTTCAAACGAATATTTTATTCAGCTTTATTGTCAGTGTAGATGATGTCATGTATAGGGAGAGAGAGTGTTGCCTGTCATCCGGGTAGATGTCTTTGCGATCATCAATAGTACTGAGGAAAGCCGTGTCAACTGCAAACACAACTGATCTACTTTCTACGTCAGTTGATGTAAATAAAAAAGTGGGCCTAAGTCAGTGCTCTGTGGCACCCCTGTATTGACAGGTGCAGATAAATAACCCAAAACTGACAAGTGGTGAAAAATTGCAGAGAGGAACTTTATTGAGAAGTTTCGCCCGTGGCCTAGCTGCTTCACTCACTACACAGGGATGTATAACAAATTTATACAAGCGCACTCAGGAGAGTGCAGAGTTAGTAAGGTCTCGGTGGGAGGGGGTGGGAAGAAGTGTTGCTAGCGTTCGTCGCTAACGGTCGCCCGCTAGTGCCCGTCGCTAACGGTCTCGCCCTAGTGCCCGTCGCTAACGGTCTCGCCCTAGTGCCCGTCGCTAACGGTCTCGCCCTAGTGCCCGTCGCTAACGGTCTCGCCCTAGTGCCCGTCGCTAACGGTCTCGCCCTAGTGCCCGTCGCTAACGGTCTCGCCCTAGTGCCCGTCGCTAACGGTCTCGCCCTAGTGCCCGTCGCTAACGGTCTCGCCCTAGTGCCCGTCGCTAACGGTCTCGCCCTAGTGCCCGTCGCTAACGGTCTCGCCCTAGTGCCCGTCGCTAACGGTCTCGCCCTAGTGCCCGTCGCTAACGGTCTCGCCCTAGTGCCCGTCGCTAACGGTCTCGCCCTAGTGCCCGTCGCTAACGGTCTCGCCCTAGTGCCCGTCGCTAACGGTCTCGCCCTAGTGCCCGTCGCTAACGGTCTCGCCCTAGTGCCCGTCGCTAACGGTCTCGCCCTAGTGCCCCGTCGCTAACGGTCTCGCCCTAGTGCCGTCGCTAACGGTCTCGCCCTAGTGCCCGTCGCTAACGGTCTCGCCCTAGTGCCCGTCGCTAACGGTCTCGCCCTAGTGCCCGTCGCTAACGGTCTCGCCCTAGTGCCCGTCGCTAACGGTCTCGCCCTAGTGCCCGTCGCTAACGGTCTCGCCCTAGTGCCCGTCGCTAACGGTCTCGCCCTAGTGCTCGTCGCTAACGGTCTCGCCCTAGTGCCCGTCGCTAACGGTCTCGCCTAGTGTCCGTCGTAACGGTCTCGCCCTAGTGTCCGTCGCTAACGGGTCTCGCCTAGTGGTCCGTCGCTAACGGTCTCGCCCTAGTGTCCGTCGCTAACGGTCTGCCCTAGTGTCCGTCGCTAACGGTCTACGCCTAGTGTCGTCGCTAACGTCTCGCCCTAGTGTCCGTCGCTAACCGGTCTCGCCCTAGTGTCCGTCGCTAACGGTCTCGCCCTAGTGTCCGTCGCTAACGGTCTCGCCCTAGTAAGTTAAGGTTTGTTCCTTTTTAATTTATTAACAAAGCACCGCATAAGAGGAATTACCAACAGACGCCTCCCTGGCTGTCTACAGAGTGGAGCTGGACAATACATATACACAAATACCTAACCAGCGAGCTGTGGTTCGTACGCTGGACTACATTACAGCCGCCAGCAGTAAAAGCCTGGATGATCAGGCCTGATCCACCGGCTGCGGGGGCGTTGACCCCCGAAACACCCTCCAGGTAGGTAAAAATCTTTCGAATATTGAGCGTTTCTAACGTACTCCGTTTCTAGCGTTATCAAATTCACGCTGTAATTATTAACTTGCTACTGAGGCACGACAACAGACGTACAGGAGACTGGATAATATTTAGTTTCCTGGGTATACTGGAGACGAAAGTGGACGGCTTCGGTGAATCAACATTTAGAAGCTTTTACTCTGAGTAATTATCCGGTGGGATAGTAATCCAAGTAACTCAGTTAAGCCATGTCATCAGGATGGCTTATTTCCATTGGGGTCCACTGATCCATTCCTTATTAAGAGACTACACCCAGGTACCTACTACCTCTAGGGTATCAATGTGTAAGGAAATATGCGCAACCCCCGGCCCCTCAGATGACCAAAAGCTCCGACCCGCATCAGGAAACATCTGTCCGGTTTTCTGACGAACCTGCCTAACCTCCGAGCTGTAGCCTTGGTAGCTCTTATTTTATGGGGGATGTTTTAACAAGTGCTACTACCTTATGCTGGTGGACGATCCCTTTCAGTGTCCTCATTTATAAGTCACTCCCAGATGAGTTGCAGGACCTCCCTTAACTGTAACATCTACCTCACACAGCTTAAACTCTGAGATGCAGCTCTCACTCAGAGCTCTTCTGTTTTAATTATATTAATGCGAGTAATTTAGAGGACCAGCATCGTCTTCCTTAATACACGAAGGAAATACAAAAGACTTCATTTGAGAACACATGACTGATGTTATCTTGCTTCCTACAACTGCCAGCTAACACCTGCTAGCTAACACCTGCCAGACATGACATTAACTTGCCTCCTACAACTGCCTTACCCTGCTAATACCCGCAAGACATGACGATTATCTTTCCTCCTACAGTTGTTACCCTGGTGGCTAACACCTGCTCACGTGATTTATCTTCGTGTCCATTACTACCACCCACAATTATTTGAGAATAAGATGACTGAGAAGTAGAAGGAAAAATGGAAGATGAAAAGAAATCCTTTGGATTATTTAATCGAGCTGGATTGTCAACCCAGGAAAATCCAACCAAAACATTCATTTACGTACCTCACAAACTGATGAATTAGACATGTGCAACACTTTACCATCTTCACTGACGAAAAGTTTCGCCTATACAGCAGGTTTCTTCAGTCGAATACATCACTGGAGACAGTTGAAGTTTGAGGTGACCAGTCCTTCGGTCTTGACAGGCTAATACAATGGTCATATCTGGTCTCTCGTGTTGTATGCTGGCCACTGACCTAAGAATTCACTGTTGAACACGAGTGAAAAGTAGTTCAGTGTTAATACCACGACTGTACGATGATTATATAATAATTGTACAAATACCATGATTGTACAATGTTAATACCATGATCGCTATCACATTTCTCGCCAGAAAAATCCATAAAGCTATATAGTAGCCAGGGCCTCCCAGAGAAATTTTGCCCTGGAGGCAGGCTGAGAACCCGTCTAAGTGAATTTTACATTGTTTTTCTAAATAAACAACAAATAGTTGAAATTACCCCCCATAAAATCAAATGAAAAATCAAAATTAAACGTCTATGGTTATGAGGCCCCTTCCGAGGTTCACAGCCGGGTCCTGGACCAATGTACCAGCAGAACACCCCCCCCCCCTCATGGGCCCTGGTAGATGGTATCATTGTTGTTGTTTTCAGTCTTAAAGACACGAAAGAGGTAAATTTCAGAAAAGTATTAAATTCAGTTTACAAACATCTTTACTTTCCCGTACATATTCTCATTCCTTTAACATTTCATTTCAAAATTAAAAGACCTGTTCCGAGGCCGGGCGGCGGGGACGATGATCCTCGGAACTATTAATACAACCATCCCTCCAACAAAAACTTAATAACCCACTTAATAAAAATGCTGCTTTGACATACTGTCTTATATTTCAACTATTCGACTATCTCAAGCTCACTACGTAACCAGTTAAGTCAGATCCGCTACACCACAAACGGTTTGTTAGAGAGAATTAAAATATCTGAATGATTAAAAGAAAAATACTCCCAACTCCTTTACGTCAACATACATTAGTGCTTCTCCACCTCCTGTGTGTTTACATGCTTCAATGACCCTTGTGCGAGTGTAAACATCAGTGGAGTCGTCTGTGTAAACAAACACGTCAGAGTGTTATAACACTATATGAGAGAGTGTGCTATAACACAGTCCAGCGTTCCACGTGAAGGGAACGAGGAGAATAACACCCACGTAACCAACTGGAGCATAACACCCACGTAACCAACTGGAGCAAAACACCCACGTAACCAACTGGAGCATAACACCCACGTAACCAACTGGAGCATAACACCCACGTAACCAACTGGAGCATAACACCCACGTAACCAACTGGAGCATAACACCCACGTAACCAACTGGAGCATAACACCCACGTAACCAACTGGAGCATAACACCCACGTAACCAACTGGAGCATAACACCCACGTAACCAACTGGAGCATAACACCCACGTAACCAACTGGAGCATAACACCCACGTAACCAACTGGAGTATAACACCCACAGCCAACAAAGATTTTTATTGCCAGTAAGCAGTGAAGATTAGCAAGAAATGGTAAGGCTATAAGCACGTCAGAACCATGCTGGACTGGAAACAAAACCAGCGAGAGGCTTAGAGCCACCAGTGACAAGCCCAGGGGCCACAATTATTTTTAAGATCAATAACCATCCTTTCCCCTTGCTATCACAGGAACAAATAATGCAATATTTCCGCTTGTAAACATACAAGGTCTTATACTAAGCAGCAACAATAAAATACCATTTATTAATGGAATCTTAGTGAAGTTAGATGTAATGTTTACAGTTTGTTACTGACCCACACAAACTACCCTGATAGTGAAATCTAGATCCTTGGGGTACAATCCATGCAAGTGTGACCCAGGAAACAAACAAGGGCTTAGTCTGTATGTCACAGTCATTCATTTATACTGCATGACAAACGATGTAGTTGAAGTTATGGTGTTAAAAACAATCAGAATCTCGCTATTGTTGTCGTATATAAACCACCAGACGCAATTTCCCAACACTTCAAAGATCAACTATTGCAAATCGAGCACTGTTTTGAAAATCTCCCAAACACAGCCTGTAGTACCCTGTTGCTTAGCGACTTTATTCTACGACACCTGAAAAGGAAGACAGAAGCAAAGACTAACAGCAGAAAAATCCCAGGAGAGTTTGGATGAACAGTCACTCAACTACTGACTGAGACTGCAATAAATTCACCATAGCGGAACCGACCAGATTAGAATATATTCTTGTCCTAGTGATCACTGACGAAGATGATGTGGTAGGGAACATGACAGTGCTGAAGACAGTAAACGCAGACCACAAACTAATAAAAGTTTAGACTCGTGCTCACTGGTCTTAATAAGCAAAATACACTTAGTCAAGAGGTCATATTTAACTAACTTTAATAGTGTCCGTGGTTGATCCCCGGCAAGGGTGAAAACAATGGGCTTGTTTCCTTACACCTGTTGTCCCGTTCACATAGCAAGCAAGTACTTGGGTGTTAGGCGACTGGTGTGGGTCGCATCCTGGGGGACACGATTGAGGACCTCAAAGGAAATAAGACAGTACTCTACGACGCACTGCCTTTCTTGGGTTATCCTGGGTAGACAGCACTCCAGGGGTAAAAATACGAACAAAATCTTATCAACTGATCTGAGTGAAATATGCTGGTAAGACGATACGATTAACATGGACCTGACCCAGTAGAGTGGATGAGCTCAGTGGCACTAGAGATATGCTCCAGACACACACCATTACAGGAGGAGGAGGAGGAGGTGCAAGTTGGAAAGGCAGACGCGCACACGCTATAGACAGGCAACGGATAGCAGAAATTCTCAAAAAAAAATTCTAAATTAATAAAAAAAAAACATTAGCTAGAAAAAAAGGAGAATGCTGATCTAAAACCGAATGTATTATACAGAATACAGGAGAAAAACAAAAATTATAGGACAAAAAAAATCTCGTATGCAGAATCCAGTGATAAAAACAACTGGTATCGGACCTTCAAAGGAGAGGGAACATGCACTGGACACAGTAGTTAGTGAAATGCGACAAAACAACAATTAAATGCTCAGCGAGTCACTAATCAACCAAAAGATTGAAGAACCCCAAACGAGTTTTTCATGACAGATGCAAAATACTACAGAAATCTCTGAAATGTTAGATATATCCCTAACCCCACTTGACGCTGAAGAAGCGATAAATTGAACATTAAAATGGTATAAAATACCGACAGGTTGTTAGGTAAGACACATATGCAACAGTTAGGTATCTTTATTGTGAAACGTTTCGCCTACACAGTAGGCTTCTTCAGTCAAGTACAGGAAAGGTTGATAGAAGCAGAAGATACTTGAAGACGATGTAATCAGTCCATCACCCTTAAAGTTTTGAGGTGGTCAGTCCCTCAGTCTGGAGAAGAGCATTGTTCCATAGTATGAAACATATTGTTTCATACTATGGAACAATGCTCTTCTCCAGACTGAGGGACTGACCACCTCAAAACTTTAAGGGTGATGGACTGATTACATCGTCTTCAAGTATCTTCTGCTTCTATCAACCTTTCCTGTACTTGACTGAAGAAGCCTACTGTGTAGGCGAAACGTTTCACAATAAAGATACCTAACTGTTGCATATGTGTCTTACCTAACAAGCGATAAATTGCACGGCCACGCACTCCGCCCCAAAACCCAGACTTTTGTAACTCCATATCCATCAAGAATCGCAAGAAACCTATTTCGTTTACTAAATATTCTACGGCGGAACATGAAGATTAAAATCGTGTCATTAAAAATCACTGACAGTCCCACGCCACAAACATAACTGAAGCAATTTAAACTATAGACCAATAGCTCTGACGTCCCACTATCAATCTTTGAAAGTGTTTTAAGAAACAAGATTGCTACACGGGTTCTGAACAGGTCGCTCCTGCTTATTGCAAATGCAAGCTCGTTATGACAGTCTTGAAGACAACCATAATGCAGAAGTTAGTTTTAATGCGACTAAGGGCTAATTGCACACCAAATGCGTAGAAAAGGAATAACTGAAGGCTAGAAAATTTATACTTAACCTCCTAACAAATAGAACCCAAAGTGTAATAGTGAACAGAGCGAAATCAGAGACCAAAACAGTAAAAAGGTGTTCCTCAGAGCACGATATTTACCCCACTTCTCTTTCTCATATTCGACAGGCAGGGACAAACCATAGCACCGTATCATACTTTGAAGAAGATAAAAAAAATTCTTTTACTAGTGATGTCCATAGAAGACCAAGTTTTCCAGTGGGCCACTGACAATATGATGCTCACTGAGGAAAATTCAAATATTACGTTACAGTAAAATTGAGGAAATAAAAATAAACACATCGAAATGCAAGACGAACTTAAACTACCTAATACAACATAAGACTAGTCCCAGAGACTTGGAGTAAACAGTGTCAGAATCTCTCATTCACGGAGCATTGCTATCACAGCCATGAGGAAAATGACTGGTTGGATAACTAGACCTTCCAAAACAAAGAGGCCAAGCCAATGATTATACTCGTGTCCACTCGTCCTCTCAGCTGGAATATTGCTGCATACTTATGGTAACCTTCAAGGCAGAACTGGAGAATATACAGAGAAACTTTACAGCCCGTAAAATCTCAATCAAGCACCTAACTTACTGGGAACGCTCTAGTTCCTCGCAGCGTATTTTCTAGAAAGAAGGAATATTCTGGAGGGACTGGTCCTAACCCTACACACTAAAATCACCCGAATGTATAAGGCTTGGCAGTCGGTGCAAGATATTTCCAATGAAAAGCAAGAGCAAGAATACACAGGTGCACACACTATCAGTCACCACATGTGAAACCAAAGGCAACTTCAGGTAGCACTTCCACCGCTAGACATCCACCGGATGAATCACCCAGTGTGCCACCAGTAAGTCCACTTGAAGATCAACCTTACGATTCAATCTCCGTGTAGTGCGAATCGCCTCAACCCTGTAACTGGTGGAACCACAAGTAACATCGACCCCTTCTAGAATTCCCGAAAAAAAAAAAAACGAATAGGTAACAAAAAAAATCCCCGCTACTTAACCAAAGTTACGAAGCGTGGATTACTGCTGGGTTCTCAGTCAGGCTTAGCTACCCAAACCTCAACACCACATTAAGGTGACAATATCGGTGCGAAGCTGAAAAAAAAAATGAACAGGACTGCCCAAACATCTTTTTTTACCATCATTGCATC